GTTCACGAGAGCCAAAATATGATCTTGACTATATCCCATGTGAATTTAAAGATATGTGAAAAACAGATTTGGTACATTATACACTAAAGACTGAAGACTAGAAGAGTTGTCAGATTATATCAAGAATATCATACATGTTACCTAATAATTGTTACTAGGACTGTTTGTAAGGGATGGAAATGTAGAGGTTGACATTTGGGGGCAAAGGGAGGGGAGTGATTAACCTAAAAGTTTAGGAGCAGAGGTCCCTGGGACCATCAAAGGAGGAGAACAGAGAACGGAACCTTACCCAGAGAAGCAGTGATACCAGATATGGAGGCAGAGACGATGACATGGGGAGATGGAGCAGCTGGAGACTTTGGAACTAGAGAGAGAGAGGGGCGGTGTGCAGACGACCGGGGGGCAGACTTGCAACGTATACCCTTTGGTTGATCAATGATGCATGGAAGGGATTGTAACCAAGGCAAGGAAACAATATATGACTGGATCAATGTGAAGCTGATGTCCTCCCATGTTAACTATCACATAATTCACAATAAAATATTAAAAAAACAAAAGCAAAAAGTAATTGAGAAGACAAAAAAGAAAGCAAAAAAGAAAAAGAAAAAAAAAGAAAGCAAAAAGTAATTGAGAAGACAAGAAAGAAGGAAAAGGTCAAAATGGATGTGAGAAGAAACACTGAAACTTGCTCTCTAGTGTAGAGATGCTAAAGCAAATGGAAGAAATGAGGAAGTCCAAGAGCTGAACAGAAAACTTCAAAGATCAGCTCAAGAATATAAAGCCAAATATTACAATATTACAATAAAATGTGCAAAAATCTGGAATCAGAAAACCTAAAAGGAAGAACACACTCAACATTTCTCAAGCTGGGGGAACTGAAGAAAAAATTCAATCCTCAAATCTTGTTATTGAAATATTCTCTGGGAAAATTATTGAATGATGCAGAAAGCATCAAGAGAAGATGAAAGGAATATACAGAGGCACTGTACCAAAGGGAAATGGTTAATGTTCAACTATTTCAAGAGGTAGAATATGATCAAGAGCCAATGATACTTAGGGAGGAAGTCCAAGTTGCATTGAAGGAATTGGCACAGAACAAGGCACCAGGAATTGATGGAGAAAAAACTTGAAATCTTTCAAGAAAGCGAGGCAGCACAGGCGGCACTCATTCATCTCTTCCAAGAAATTTGGAAGACAACTATCTGGTTGACTTCTTGGAAGAGATCCATATTTGTGCTCATTCCAAAGAGAGGTGACCCAGTGGAATGTGGAAATCATCTGACAATCTCTGTTATATCCCATGCGAGTAAAGCTTTACTCCAGGTAATACAGAAATGTACAATCATCCATTGATTGAGAACTTCCAGAGGTTGAAGCCAGATTCATAAGAAGCCATGGAATGAGGGATATCATTGCTGATTTCCAATGGATCTTGGCTGAAAGCAGAGAATATCGCAAAGATATGCTTATTGCCTGTGCAAAGGCTTTTGATTGTGTGGATCATAAAAAGCTACGGAGAACATTGAGAGCTATGAGTGTTCCAGAATACTTAAGTGTGCTCATGCAGAATCTGTATATGGACCAAGTGGCAGTTGTTTTAACAAAACATGGGAACACTGAATGTTTTGAAATTGAGAAAGATGTGCGACAAGGTTTTATTCTTTCACCATACTTATTCAACCTGTATGCTGAGCAAATAATCTGAGAAACTTATTTATATGAAGAAAAACGTGTCATCAAGATTAGAGGAAGACTCATTAACAACCTGTGATGTGCAGCTGATATAACCTTGCATGCTGAAAGAGAAGAGGACTTAAAATATTTACTGATGAAGATCAAAGACCACAGCCTTCTGTATGGATTGCATCTCAATGTAAAGAAAACAAAAATCCTCACCACTGGACCAACAAGCAATATCCTTATCAACAGAGAAAAGATTAAAGTTGTCAAGGACTTCATTCTTCTTGGATCAACGATCAACACTCATGGAAGCAGCAGTTAAGAGATCAGATGATGTATTGCATTGTGCAAATCTGCTGCACAAGACCTTTTTAAAGTTTTGAACAGCAAAGATTTCAGCTTGAAGACTAAAGTGTGCCTGACCCAAGACATGATATTTTCAATAACCTCATATGCATTCAAAATCTGGACAGTGAACAAGGAAGACCATAGAAGAATTGATGTCTTTGAATTGTGGAGTTGGAGGAGAACACTAAAAGTGTCATGGGCTGCCAAAAGTACCAATAGATCTGTTTTGGAAGAAGTGCAGCCTGAGTGCTCCTTGGAGACCAAGATGGCCAAACTTCATCTCTCATACTTTGGACATATTGTCAGGAGGGACCAATTGCTGGAAAAGGTTTTCATATTTGGTAAGTTGGAGGGTCAGAGAAAAAGAGGAAGACCCCCAATGAGATGGACTGTCTAAGTGGCAGCCTTGATAGACTCATGTGTGGCAATAGTAGTGATGTTGGCTCAGGAGCGGGCAGTGTTTTATTCTGCTGTTCATAAGGTCGTTATGCGTAGGTACCGACTCGATGGCACCTATCAACAACAACAAGGAAATATCATATGGTTTTCTAACATTTTACAAGGTCACCAACTGTGTTTGAAAGTCCCAGTCTCCCCATTTGATGAACAGAAGCAAAGGCTTTCCTGGCTGTCAGCAATTGTTGTGTGGAAACTCCATTGCTCTCGCCTCCACACCCATCAGAGCCCTGGTGTGGTCCTGTGAGATAAATCACTGGACTACAAGGTCAGTTTGAACCACAAGGTCAGGGGTTCAAACACATCAGCCCCTTCCTGGAAACCTTAAAAGTTGTTATGAGTCAGAACGACTGAACAACACTAAACAACACCCACTCCCATTAATTCTGCAGTATATGAGCACTGTTATTTCATCATTTCATCTTCAAAGTTAACTCCTTACTCATAGAAAAACTGTTTAATTTTTTTTTTCCTATGGAGACATTAAATATTTTTGGATGAAAACTAAGACTATATAGTCAGTACTCTTAAGGCTCCAGTGATTCAATTGATGCTATTCTCCCTGTGTGGATTATGTCTCTGTTTGGACTCTACCAGGGAAGACAAAGAAACACAGCAAAACAAGGTGACTAAGTGTACAAGGGAAATGCACATCCATTCTTTTAAATAAATAAATGAGAAGAAATCAAAACAAAATTTCATGCCAGAAATAGACTATCTCCATGTACTATGTTAAGGAGCTTTGGTAATGTAGTGACTATGAGTCAGGCTGCTAACCTTAAAGTCAGCAGTTCCAAACTATCAGCTGTTCCACAGGAAATGGATGTAGTTTTAGGCTCCTGTACAGATTTACAATCTTGAAAATCCTATAAAGGGTCGCTGTGAGTCAGAACTAACTCCACGGCACATAGCACTTATCATCAACAACATAGTGCATTTATATCTTTTGCACAAACAGGAAGCCTCATTTTTTGTCTGCTTAGAAGCTGGAGGTCTCAAACTTTGGATATTTTTTATCCTATGTAGCCACCACATTCCTTAACTTTACTATGCTTATCTAATTATTTATTTGATTTATATAATTAAAGGAAGAGCTTATGATAGGTGCTAAAATAAAGGTATGCAAATACAATTTCTGAAGCAATTGCAAAAATATGTGAAAGTAAAATTATTGTATGACATGAATATTGACAAGAAATGGAACATAATGATATTAGTTACATTTTATTGATTTATTTCAATGTAGCAGGCATTGTACTAAGTGCATGCAATGATTACAATTCACTTCCTAATAGCCCAGTGGTTAGTTTAATGCTCATCAACTAATCATTTATTCCTCCTAACAGGAATTTAGGAGCTCTGGTACATAGTGGCTATGAGTTGGGCTGTTAAGCTCAAGATCAGCAGCTAAAACTACCAGCTGTACTGCAAGAAAAAGCTGAGGCTTTCTACTCCCATAAAGATTTACAGCCTTGGAAACCCCATACAGAGTCGCCGTGAGTCATAATCAACTCCACAGCACATAACCACCACCGCCATCAAGAATTAGATTATGAAGGGAAATATGATCCTTTTCTCTTTGGTGATAGGGGAGGACACTAGTTTGATTTGGGTGCCATAAAGAATTATTACAAACTTGGTTGCTTAAAAGGAGAAACTTATTGTCTTATAATTATGAAGGTCAGAAGTCAGAAACCAAGCTGTCTGCAGAAGTGTATTAAGTTTGAAGGCACTGAGGAAAGAAAGCATCCATTGGCTTCCAACTTCATGAATACCTTCATGGTTCTAGCTATTCCTTCGACTCTGACCATATGACTCCAATTTTTCCCTCTGTGGTTTTGTTACCTCCTATTTTTTTCTGTATGTTTTGCACTGTTTATATGAATGTGATTGCAATTAGGCCCATCAGGATATGCACCCTAAACTCCTCTACAAAGACCTTTTGTTCAATTAAGTTAATAATCACCCTTTATTGTATCAGTAATATTTATAGGTTCCAAGAATTAGGATGTGGAAATACAAATATGGAAACAACCACCTAAGCCACTACAGGAGACATGTCTTCTGATGACTGAATCAAAAAGTCTGTTAACAAAAGATACAGAAAAGAAAGTAAGATTTCTCTCTGTGAGCATCTTGTGCGGTTTTACAACTGCATCTTCTAGAGCAATCTAGATAAAATGAGGAAAACTCATTCTAGGATGAAGCCACAACATGCTAGATAACTTTCCTGCTTTTGTTAATTTCCTACTAATTAAGTCATTATGATGAAATAAAGTAAACTTCAATTTTTGAGGACATTATTATTTGAGATTTTTTTCTGACATATTAAGAACAGAACATCTTCACAGATGATGTTCAACTATCTCAAACCACCAAAAATAACTGAGAAACTACAATGATGTCATTTTTTTAGATGAAGCATCTTAGTGCAGTTAATGAAAATGCTGACGCTCAGGATAAGTTTATGAATGAAAATTCCTTGCAGTAATGAACTCTCACAGATGATACAATCACTAAAAAGAAAGTATCCTACTAATGAGTTCTCTCAACCTTACCTTTATGTCTCTGTTCCTCAGGCTATAGATAAAAGGATTCATCATTTGAGGGACCACACTGTACATCACTGAGGCTACTGCTGTCCTACTGGAAGTGTGTGTAAATATAGAACTGATGTATATACCTATGGAGGGTCCATAGAATAAAGAAACCACTAAGAGGTGAGACCCACAGGTAGAAAAAGCTTTATACTTTCCACTAGCTGATGGTATTCTCAAAACAGAAGAGACAATCCGAGTGTAAGAGAATATTATCCCAGAGAGAGAAATACCACCCAGTATGCAAGACACAAAATAAACGAGGAGGTTGTTGATGAGGGTATTAGAACAAGCAACACTGAGGACCTGAGCAAGTTCACAGAAGAACTGAGGAATTTTCACATCTGTGCAGAAGGACAACTTCAAAACCATCAGACTGTGGATCAGAGCATCCACCATGCTAATTAATATCGAAAGTAGAATCAACAGGCCACAGAAGCATGGGTTCATGATGACTGTGTACCTCAGTGGGTGACAAATGGCCACATAGCGGTCATAAGCCATTGCTGTAAGAAGAAAATTTTCAAAACCACCAAAAATCAGGAAAAAGAAAATCTGGTTGAGGCAGCCTGTGTATGTGATGCTCCAGTTCTGTGTCTGGATGTTCACCAGCATATTTGGGATGGTAGTTGTGCTCAAACAGACATCAGTAATGGACAGAATGGAGAGAAAAAAGTACATAGGGGTATATAAGTGGGAGTCAGAACTGACCGTCAGGACAATGAGAAGGTTTCCAAGCACAGTGATCAGATACATGATGAGGAACAGCATAAAGAGGAAGGACTGCAGTTCTGCATCCTCGGTCAGTCCCAGGAGAATGAAATTTGAAACTTCTGTTTGGTTTCTGCATTCTATATTGTTGAAGAATCTGATGGAAGAATGAGGTGACAAGACAATCAAATGTGTGAGCTCTCAACAACCACCACCAGCAGCACCACTGAATTCAGGTATTGTTTTAGGGGAAAAGAAAGACAAAAAGGTGCCTTCTGTATGCATACTATTTTATTATTTGTAAAAAGAAAAACAAAGAGACCTACAGCTGAAGGTGCAAGGTGTCAATCATTATTTATTCTGGAAAGGGAATGGAGGTCATTATATTATTATCAAACTATCTGTGTTTTATGATCATTTTAAATATTTAGTAATTTAAATAATAGAAATAGACAGACTAGGCAAGCAGACTATTGCATTAATCTGGGACTTCAAATTCTCCCCAGAAATTAAAGACAGGCAGTAGAGGTAATAAAAATATGTACTAACAGCCAAGAAGATAAGATGAACAAATTTCTCTCAGAAACCATCTTTATCACCATCTTCACAAAATGCAAGTACATGTCAGAGAATTTTGTTGCAGTGATCATGTTTGACAAGGGTTAGGTTATTGCTCGACAACAACAACAACAACAAAAGTCATGTGTGATGTTTAGAGATTGGGCAAGAGACTGAAAGAATGAGAATTCTTGCAAAACTATGAAGAAACAGACAGACAAGGTAGATTCCCATTTGAGTGTTAGCTTCATCATTTTCTGCAAGTTCTTTCTCTCATGCATCATTCTTCTGGAGTACATGTGGTAAAATACCTGCTCTCATTTCCAAATATTAACTAAGGGATTTTAGTTTACCTGATTGGCATCTCTGAGGAATCATTATCTGCTCTGGATGTAGAAGACTGAAAGTTTATCTTCAGAAAAGATAATGGGCCTGTGTGAAGCACTAGAGTCGTGGAAAAAAAGAGTAATCTTTGAGAAGAGAATCATGTGTTGGACTTGCCTACAGGGGAAGAGTTCTTAAGTGAAATGTCACTGGCCAACTATTTGCAGTGTCAATATCCCTGGAGACTCAATATCCAAAGTTCCTCATTAGGCTAACATATTTATCATCATTCTGATCCCAGGGCAGTAAAAATTGTTGATTCCCTGGTCTTATGAGACCAGCTACATGTAACTCACCACCGTCCACCTGTTTCTGCTCACTTCTATGTCACATAATTTGTACATGTGGACCCCTATGTATTTTTTATCAGATTACAATTTGTTTTATTATTTTTCTTTTTAGTTACAACCAAAGATTTCTATATCTAACTAATGTTATCCAGAAACCCACATATAATAATTAGTACAAAAGTATAGTTTAGATGTTTAATATTTACATAATCTCCTTATAAATATTGGTAAAATTATGTAAAAATGTCAAGTCAGCACTATTCTAAGACTCATTGACCATTTTCTTACCCTTAATCTATAATCTATCTATTTTATAAAGCATATTTTAGTATGTCCCTTGATTAATTCTGACTGCAATCAGTATAGACAGACCCACATTTTCTTCTTTAGAGTTTTTAACTGCCCTTTTTAGTGTATTCATGTTAGTTAACATATTTTCTTTATTTGGGTAGACTGTGGGTTGAAATCACATCTGATTTTTCATAAAGTTGTGCTAAATTATGTCAATGGAAAGCTATGTGGTTTTTCCATACTTTCTGCAAATTTTTTTATAGCTTAACTAAACTTTAATACATCAGATTGGTGTTTAATATGAATATTCACTTTATAATTTGATCTTTCCTAGCTCAATGTTTTCAAATATTTATCAATTTATTTTACCACTGTTTCTAAATGTATAGAAACTTTTTCACTCTATGGTTATTTGATATATCAAAAACAACTTGGGACAAGTTGGTATTGTAATGCTACCCTTTTCCTTAACTACATTCTCCATTGTTGTTGTTATGTACCATGGAGTCAGTTCCGACTCATAGCGACGCAGTACAGGCTTTCAGAGGCTGTAAATCTTTACGGGAGCAGAAAGCCTCATCTTTCTCCTGTGGAACAGCTGGTAGTTTCGAACTGCTGACCTTGCAGTTCATAGCCTGAATCGTAACCACTACTCTACCAGAGCTCCTTCTCCATACACACATGTAATAATAGATAATATACGTTGTTGGTGTTAGGTGCCATCAAGTTGGTTTTAATTCATTGCAGTTCTATGCAATACAGAATGAAACACTGCCCAGTTTTGCACCACTGTCACAACTTGTGTTAGATTTGAATGAGTTGTTGTTGTCACTGTGTTCATCTTGTTGTTGGGATTGTCTCCTTTTTCTGTTTCTCCTCATTCCAAGCAAGATGTTCATAGCCAGGAGATCAAAATTTGAAAAAATGTTTCCAATTCCAAAGTGGAGCTGAAAAAATGGCAAAACAACAAGCTGAACAAAGAAGCTCTGTGGATTTATTTTTATAGTAAAATAGCAGGAAGTTTACAATATCCAGAGTAAAATCATTAAATGTCTTAAGAGACTACATATTTTAACACAGAGTAATGATGGTGTTTCCTTTTTTGAGAGATGAAGTATGGCTATCTTGGCTTCCAAGGAGCACTGTCGATGCACTTCTTCCAACACAGATCTATTGGTTCTTTTGGAAGCTCATGGCACTTTCAATAATCGCCAATACCATAATTCAAAACCCTCAATTCTTCTATGGTCTTCTTTATTCACTGTCCATCTTTTGCAAGCATAAGAGGTTATTGAAAATACCATGGTTTAGGTCAGGCGTGCCTTAGGCCTCAAGCTGATATCTTTGCTGTTCAACATTTTAAAAAGGTCTTGTGCAGCAGATTTGCCTAATGCAATACATCGTTTGATATCTTGACTGCTGCTTCCATGAGTGTTAATAGTTGATCTAAGAAGAATGAGGTCCTTGACAACTTCAATCTTTTCTCCATTGATAAGAATGTTGCTTATTGGTCGAGTGGTGAGGATTTTTGTTTTCTTTACATTGAGATGCAATCATTATCAAAGGCTGTGGTCTTTGATCTTCATCAGTAAATATTTTAAGTCCTCTTCTCTTTCAGCAAGCAAGGTTATATCATCTGCATATCACAGGTTGTTAATGAGTCTTCCTCCAATCCTGATGACAAGTTTTTCTTCATATAATTAAGTTTCTCAGATTATTTGCTCAGCATACAGATTGAATAAGTATGGTGAAAGAATACAACCTTTTCGTATACCTTTCTTAATTTTAAAACATTCTGTTGTCCCATGTTCTGTTCGAATAACTGCCTCTTGGTCCAGGTACAGATTCCTCATGTGCACAATTAAGTGTTCCATAATACTCATACTTCGCATTGTTGTCCATAGCTTGTCTTACTCCACACAATCAAAAGCCTTAATGCAGTCAATAAAGCACAGGTAAACATCTTTCTGGTACTCTCTGCTTTCAGCCAAAATCCATCAGACATCAACAATGATAACCTCATTCCACAGCCTCTTCTGAATCCAGCTTGAACCTCTGGAAGTTCTCTGTCAATGTATGCTTGCAGCCATTTCTGTATTACCTTTAGTAAAACTTCACTCGCATGGGATAGCAAATTATTGTCTAATGATTTCCACATTACAATGGGTCACCTCTCTTTGGAATGGGCACAAATAAGGATCTCTTCCAATCAGTTGGACAGATTTGGTCTTCTAAAATTCCTGGTATAGACAAGTGAGTGCCTCCTGTGCTGCCTCACTTTCTTGAAAGATTTCAATTTTTATTTCATCAATTCCTGGTACCTTGTTCTTTGTCAATGCCTTCAATGCACCATGGACTGCTTCCTTCAGTATGATTGGCTCTTGATCATATGCTACCTCTTAAAACGCTTGAACATCAACAATTTCCTTTTAATACAATGCCTCAGTCTATTTCTTTAGTTTTCTTTTGATGCTTTCTGCATCATTCAATCACTTGCCCAGAGAATCCTTCAATAATGGAAGTTGAGGCTTGAATTTTTTCTTCAGTTCCCCCAGCTTGAGAAATGCCGAACGTGTTCTTCCTTTTTATTTTTCTGACTCCAGATCTTTGTACATTTTGTTGTAATATTTGACTTTGTCTTCTCGAGCTGAACTTTGAAATTTTCTGTTCTGCTCTTGTATCTCCTCATTGTTTACATTTGCTTTAGCATCTCTACGCTGGAGGGCAAGTTTTTGTGTCTCTTCTGAAATCTATTTTGATCTTTTCCTTCTGTGTTGTCTTTTTGCTTTCTACCTCTATGATGTTTTTGATGTTATCCCACAACTCTTCTAGTCTTCAGTCTTTAGTGTTTAATATATCAAATCTGTTCTTTAGATGGTCTCTAAATTTAGGTGGCATATATACAAGGTCCCGAGTTTGTTACAAAACATCTACCCTTTCAAATGTGACAGCTGAAATTAGTCTTGATAACAATTACTAACTACTCAATCATAAGAATTTTATCCCTATCTCTTTTTACAAGACTCATCTCAATAAGATAAAAATTCAATGGGGTCTCTATATTCCCCACACACTCTTAAACTAAACTTTCTCTTGAAACCTTGTAAGGCAGTCACTTTATGCCTTTATCACCCCCTCATTTTAGGTAGCAAATATCAAAGTTGCCCATCCCTATCTACTCTGTATACAGAGGGGATAGCATTGATACTTGTGAAAACTCCTTTCCTCATTTTTGGTATTTAGAAAAACTAACTATGGAATATAGCTCAAGTGAATATATTGTAGCAATATACACTAGTTTCCATAATCAAAAATTGTATTTAAAAAAAATTTTTTTTGGTCATCTGATCTAGTTCTGATTATCAAACCATTGAAGCTAGGTCAAATTGGTACTATCTGCGAGTTGGGGCATTCTTGTGCATCTTCCCTCACTTCTTATCAGCTGGATGCTTCCCTAAGTGATAGCTCTCTGTGGCTATGTTCTTGTCCATGGGCTCAGGTGTCCCCAGGTCTCACCACACTTTGGCCAAAAGCCCTTCTTCTTCTAGCTCACATCTCTAGGTCAAAGGGAGTCTGTGGAATATGGTTGAACTCAGGACATTTCTTAACTGCTGTTTTCCGCCTCTTCCACTCACCAGTAGAACAATGTGGTCACCAGCAAACTTACATGCCAGTTCATGTGTTCTCTTTGAGTTTCAGCCTTAGTGGGGTGTTTGTCTTGAAGGGACTTGACTGCTTTCCTTGATGGCTTCCCAGTGAGCAACTTACTTATTCTTGTAGTAGTCAATCACACTGCCATTTTTGTTTGTTTGTTTCTGATAATCTTCCATTGAAGATGTATTTTCTGTCACTTAGCGTAGTGGTTACAAATCGGGCTGCGAACCTTAAGGTCAGCGGTTCGAAACTACCAGCCACTCCGCAGGAGAAAGATGAGGCTTTCTACTCCCGTAAGGATTTACACCCTCGGAAATCCTGTACAGGGTCGCTATGGGTCGGAACCGACTCGACGGCACTTAACAACAACAACAATAGCTATTCCAGGCTGATCTTCTTGTCCTTTGTATCAGGAATGCCATACCTCAGAAGGTCCTGGATGGGCTCCATAAGCAGCCTAATTCACTAGACAAGTTTTAAAACCCCATTTAGGTATTACAATCAGTTATAGGCTGAAGATGGGCTTACAAGCTTTCTATAATCATGTTTCCTGACATTCCTTTCTATCCCACTCAATTGTCTATTTTACAATAATAGGCAAGGGAAATGAATATTGATAAGAGAGTCAAGCATCTTAGTATCATTTCCCCTCTTCAGACTATGCCTCCACCCCTGTATCACAGATACCTGTTGTTCCAAGGTTGATTATGATTCACTATTTACCTCTGTCCCATTTAGCCCATGAATTCCTGTTTCAGTGTTCCCCTATTAACCTTGTTCTTCCACATCCTCACCCTTCTTGTGTATTGTCCTCCACAACACCCTAACTATGATGTGTCTTCTCCCTAACCAGTGCTCTACTGTAGCCTCACAAAATTCATAAAAACAAATGAAAATGAAAACAAAACATACCAAAATCTTTAGGAATCAGTGAAATCATTGCTGAGAGGACAATTTATTGCAATAAATGCACACATCAAAGGAGAAGAAAGAACCAAAATTAACACATTAACACAGCATCTACAACAATTAGAAGCAGACCAACAGAGGAAACCTACAGCCACCCAAAGAAAAGAAATAATAAAGATTGTTGTTGTTGTTCTGTGCCG